AAATTCTTTGGTAAAACATATTCTTAATCATATGTGAACTTAAATGGGCTTGTTTTATGCCAAAAAAAGGGAACCTTTTTGACTAAAATATGACAGTTGTTTGTCGTATACATAATTTAATTTGATCTTGTAGTTATATTATAATTGATAAATAATAAAAAAATAGCGGATAAAACATTTTTTAAAAACTTATTAAGCAAATATAAAGGATAAATTTAGACCTCCAAAAATCTTGCAAGACGCCCAAATCTATTACCGGGCTGTTGGTAACAGATTCTTATTATAATTATGTTGACCTATGTGCAAACTTGATGTTTTTCGTTTAGTGGTAATGCTATTATTATTATTATTATTATTATTATTATTATTATTATTATTATTATTATTATGTCTAAAGAACTTTTATTTTACCAAAAACTATTATTTCATAACAACTTTATATTAGTACAGCATATTTTTAAGTAAAGGAATTTTGTTTCGTAATTAGTATTATTTTCATCTCATCCTATAAACAGTGCAACCAAACGCAAGAGACAGTTATCTCTTATTAATCATTATACGATGCGAAGAGAATAATTAATTTCCAAGATTAAAATTAATTATAAATATAAATTTATATCATACTTTAATAATATTTTAATATTAAATGACTCTATTGCAAACTTATATATTAAGAACTAAACATATTCTCTTAAAAAGGTAGTAAATAAATAATATGTTAACATAGTTTATAATAAATAAGTGTATAAAAAATTAATTATATCTAAAAATAAATGTTGATTTCTTATACTCCTTTTGTTTTATTTTTATTTGACGTTTAAAGTTTATGGATGAATTAAAAAAATAATTGGTATTCTAAATTTCATAAAAAAAAAAAAATTGCTTAACGTCCTATTATACTATTTATTAAAGGTAAAATTATACTGGTAGAAATAATATTAATTATTCATTAATTTATAAAGTAAAAATAAAAAAACTAAATTAAATACTAAGATGTTAATGAAAAAAAATACAGAAGGAATAATCAGGATACAATAATAATTTTTTGTAAAAAAAATTGGATGGAGTATGATGTAAGGAGTTTGCATATTCTCCAAGTCGATTGCCAGTTGCCAAGATATGATAAACATGCTTCCCTCAGTTTACACACTTGTCTCAATTTAACCCTTTAATGATTCATTCGATGTTGATAAGGATCATTGACCCCTCATTATCCTCGCAATCAGCCAAATAACACCCATTATCCAACTAAGAGACAAATCGTAATTCCAGGAAACGTTTTAATGACCACTGTCATTTACTTCAGCTCTCATTTTCCTTGTTTCATTTCTCTTTTCCCATGATCTCTATAAATACTCGTCAACAAACACTATCTTCATACTTCACAACAACTCTTATAACCTCAGTTGCAAAGATGAATACGAAGGCCTTTTTCTTCTTCTGCTTCCTCTCCGCACTTCTTGTCATCTCTGCTTTGGCAACTGAGCCATCCAAAGATGGGAAAAAAGGTAATTAACATTTAGATAAATAGCAGCTATCTAGCTTTACACACTCCAAGCACTTTTATTCCATCAATTTTGCATGTTTCTTTCTTATTATTCCCAACCTTCAGTAACGCGATTAAACACTTTGAAATTTAAACTATTCCCTACTCTAGTCACTGTACGTACGCAGTAATATGATGGTTCAGCTTACTATGCTTTTCCCTTTTGTGTGATCAAGTAAGTAAAGTAATCATGCACGTACAATTGCTTTCTTCTATTTATCTCGGGCACGTATTCATTTATAAATACAAAGTCTAGTACTACAGAAGCCTGAAGACCATATTTCTCTACATAGAATAATACTTAGATAATTTGTTACAAATGTAGTAAAACTTTAAAAATTCTCCTGAAATCATAAGAATAATCCCATGCATGAAATTAATTGTCAAACGTTGAAAAGAAGCCAAATCCGAATATCAAATTTAGGCCATTCAATCTTATTTCAAATGTTGCCATAACATGTAAAAAATCTTATCCACCCAATCTTAAGAGGTTTCTCCTCCATTTATTTCCAAACTATAAGGTATAAGAGATTATATGTATGGAGTATACATTGCACTTTTACGTTCCTATATACATGCAACATAATGTATAGGAAGACCCTATTTCTATAATATATTGTTTTCGGATGTTGCCATGAATAATGTTGTTAATCAATTGATTAATTATCCTTTAGTAGTTAAATAGCTTTAAAAAAGAAACACCGGAACTATATTTAGAAAGTGCTATTACTTTGTGTATGTGCAGCTAGTGTGGCCGAGGAATCAAAGACAGAGCCTGGATTAGATGGGTGGGGAAGACGGGGAGGAGGCTGGGGACACGGTGGAGATTGGGGGCACGGGGGAGGGTGGGGACATGGCGGAGGGCACGGTGGAGGGTGGGGACATGGCGGAGGGCACGGTGGAGGATGGGGTCATGGCGGAGGGCACGGTGGAGGGTGGGGACATGGCGGAAGGCATGGTGGAGACTGATGACATGGCAGCGGGTGCAATCTGTAGGCGCAAAAGTGGCGCATGAAGATGTTGCCGAAGTAAAAAACGTATACATAAACTGAACACTTATATATATAATGATAAGTGTATCAATGTAATAACTAATATGTAAGAAATAAGAAATAAAAGCATGGAGTCCATGCTCTAAGTCTCTGTGTTCTAGGTTGAACTGTTTTTCTCAATCGAATATATGCATGTAGTTGACACATCTTTGGATAATGCAACTTACCAGCTATATATAGTATCAATGGTTTCAGTTTTCCATCTATAATTTGATTGGCCTCATTTCAATCCTTCTTTCCGTTTATAACTCACATTTCAATCACGTAAAGCAATTAAAGGTTAAGAATTTTATAACAATAAAAAAGGTAATAATGGTAAAGTCACGTCTCTTAAGAAAAAGCATAATAAAAATTATTCTTACATTCAAAAAATGAAGAATCTATTTTTGCAAATTATGTCAAATTTTATTTTTTTATCTTTTTTAAAATATTTTTATTTGTTTCATTTTTATAATTATTTAAACATTATTTAATAAATAAAAATTATATAAAAAACAGCATCTCGATTCATTTCTCGAATCATTAAAGATGAAACACAAACTCGTTGGTCCTACTAAAATTTTTAATTTCATTCCTCCATTTATGTCCAACCAAACGCATGAAATAAGATTTTATTCTTTAATTTCACCCTATCCTTTCAGTTCCTCCCATTTCATTATATTATATACAAACGTAGCGTAAATGTATATAAAACTACTTATAATAATAATAATAATAATAAAAAGGACCTAAATCATGCATAAAATTAATTATGTGACGAATAATAATGCATAAAAATAAAAAAATAACTCAAGTAATAAAACACATATGATAGGAACTCAAACTTAAGTACAATGGAAGACGTTAAATGCGATTTATAAATATTAGTCATATATTAAGTTAAACTTGTTTCTTTTTCAGATGGGTTAAAAAATTAATCTATTTTGTTTTATTAACAGGTTAATGGATTCACTCGCTTGAATATTAAAAATTTAAAATTTATAAAGTAAATAAAAAATAATATAAATATAATTAAATTTTAACTTGCATAAATAATTAATTTTATTAACATTAAAATGTAACTTAATATTTATTAAATTTCTATATGTCTTTTTTTATTATATTTCTCTTAAAAAATTGACCTGTCGTTTCATTCCTGCTCAATTCATTTTAAAATGCAGGATAAGCGAACATAAGTTAAACGGATTGGTGAATGTAAAATCGTACTCTAATCCACTGAATTTGGTTCTTAATCCAATAATTAAGCCCATACTGTGACCCTAATGCAAATGCTTGGAGAGTATATTGAAACGAATTAAACTACAGTGGTCCAACGTAAGCAAAATCGCAGATTCTATGTTGCATTATTACTGCTAAGAGAATATTTGAAGAACAAAAGAAAGTAACCAATTATGGAACGATGTGTATGGGAAATATAGGAATATGCAAATCCACCTAATGTTATCAGATAGATATGCTGAAATATGGGCCACGGCCCACGGGCCACCCATCCAATGAGCAAGACGCAGCTTTCCCAATGACATGACCCCACTTTACCTCAAATTATCCCAAACTACAGTTTCTAAGATCAAAATTTTCTTCCTTGATTTTCTCATAGTCACACGTTTTGGTCTGCTGTCTATAGCATGTGGCATTTGCTTATTGGATAACGCAATTTCGAATCACAACAATGAATTATTCTCACCGCCACTGCCACAATCTCGATGTCTCTCACTGCATCATAATTCAAAAAGTAGAATATCTATTTACTGTTTAAAGTGGTTTAAGGCCATCCCAAAATCCACAGCTATTTCGCTTTGCATATGTTCTTTTTCTTCTTCTACTTTCCGCTTTTTCTTTTTCTTTTTTGCTTCTATTCCATCTCCAACACCAACGTAATGGCTAGATTAAAACTGAATGTGCTAGATGCAGACATAAATAAGCATTTAACTCTTATTTTTACATTAATATATCCTTTTATTTCTCATCAAATATACTATTGAACACATGATTTCATTATTTAAATAAATAAAAATTTAATATTGTATATAATTTGTTTTTATCTCTCACTTATTTTTTTAATCTTTTTTATATTCATAAATTTTAACATAAAAAATAAAAAATAAAAAGTATACACAAAACATTTCTTTTATTACATATTTCGCATCTCTTATTTATTTTTAATCTTATCTCATCCTTTTTTTTTAATGAGCTGTATATATACGGTTTAAGTGAATCTTAGATATTTTTTCTAAAAAAAGTTACAATCAAATTTAAAATATAATAATAATCTCTTTTAATTTTAAGCCAATGAAACAATTAATGATGAACTTGCGGTGTGATTTTAACGCTCTTACTTAGTCCACCTCCTTATATAAACCTCTTTTACCAAACAATTTCTTGAAATCAAAGCCCCCAGAAAGGTCCACACAGCTAGAACATCAGAAACAGCTTCACAATTCCCATTTCCCATTTCCCGAACTAAAATGGCGAGATACGATAATCAGTACTACTTCTGGGAGTATTTCTCTTTCCCACTGCACCTGTGCTTCTTCATGTTCATCCTTTTCTTCGTGTTAGCATTTTCATGGTACATAAACTACGAGTCTGTGTACGAGGACTTGCTCATACAGGTGAAGATTTTGCTGGCCCTCGTTCCACTTGTGTTGTTGCTGGTTGTTCACTGCCTCTCAAGTGGAGGATCGTTTCCTATACCTTTGCCAGAGGAGAGAGACTCGCTTCACAGAGCTGGAGGGTCTCCATGGGGAGTGGCACTCTTGCTCGTTTTCCTCTTGTTCATGATGGCTTACCAGTCTTCTTTCCACGAACGTTGGTTTCCATTAGCTACTAGATAAGTCATAACAATGCTCAAGGATCTTGCATGCCAGTGAGTTTCAACTTCCTTATAATATTAATTTATGAAAGAGTTTGAGAGAGTGATTAAGCATATATAGTACTGGGTGTTAATTAATTAAAGAATTGATTGTCTTTGGAGTGATGTTTAGGGAGTTCTTATATATAACTAGTAGGTTATTTTACACAAATAGAAGAATCAGGGAATGGCCATGCTTAGTTTTGCTCTTATATTCCCAATTGATTTTCCTTCGGCTCAGCATATATTGGGTTATTTAGAGCAAATTGTGAGCTGAAAATTAAAGTGTAAAAAAAATATGAACCAATAAATGAGCTGCTTTTTTTATGATTTATTTTAACATTAGAAATTGTTCCTGCGTAACTCCAACTTTGTATCTTCATGTTCTAGTTTCTCCGGTTACATAAGATTAATTCTAGCTTGATTCTGGTAATAGAATTCTTCCATCTTTTCCTCACCAACACATCTTTTGCGTTTTTGTTGATCAACGATCACGAAGGAGAGATCATGTGAGTCATCAACGGGAGTACAATGGTCTCCATGAAATTTAAGCTGGATATCTAGAAAATTATCAATAGTGACGTTATGGTGAAAAGGAGTCTTCTAGCTGAGACAAGGGGAGAAGATCGTTGACGAACTTTTCTTGACTGCTGTGATTCTTTATTTTCTCCCTTTCAGTCTCACTCTTTTCTTTTTCTTTTCCCCTTTAAATAAGCATGTTCCTAGGATTGCTCAGAGTGGGAATAAATTATAATTTTTTTTTATCGTTGATATATTAATAAAAAGATAGACAAATGAAACAAATCACTTGTTACACACTATACGGTTTAGGCAAAAAAATTAAGCGTATTAAAAAAAAAACAAATTGTTTTACAATCTTATCAAGATAGCACTGGAAAAGCCAAAGAAGGAATCCAAAATTATGAACCTCCGTAAAGTAATGGTTAAGATGTTAGAAGTTCATAAAATAAAAATCGAATACTCTTGATGTAAGCAATTTTTTTCAGTTAACTTTTAAGAATGAATTATGCTTAATTTTTTAATATAATATTAGAATTTATTTAATTTAAATATTTAATTACTTATAGATGTTTAATTTTACGTATTTTATGTATTAAATGTTTAATCTTAAGAATGAAAAGAGCGTATTAACAGGTTTCATGTCAGTAAAAAATAGAATCAAAATAATAAAAAATGAACAATCATTATCATTTGAACTAATTTTATAAAAATAAATTAAATCTAATTTTTTAATAATCTTGTCAAGCAAAATAAATCTGACATGCATGAATATTTAAGATTTCATTATAAAATATTTAAAAAGAATATTAGCAATACACTCTTAATAATTTGTTAATATATTTAAAAATTGCTTAAGTTTTAAAAAGGTGAATGTTTCAAAACTTTTTAGGAAATTTTCCGTTTTTCTCATTTTCTTTAAATTTCCTTTTATTCAATTAAGCTCGCAGTGATAAACTTAGAGTCTATCAATAAAGCCACAAGATTGGTAGGTGATGGGGACAAAGAAATTGACTAGAAACTTCCAAATTATGGATAGCTAGCAGAATACATATTGTCATCAAGTCATTTTCTAATTTCGTCCAATGTAGAGGGGACAGCGATATATGATTAGTGATAGTGGATGCATTTTGCATTAAATTAATGTAAAAATAGTAGCACAAATAGCTTGGGAATTTCACCCAAATCAGGAAAAATGGGTGTTCAGCCTAAACTTAAATATTATCATGGGAACGCTTTTCTTTTTGGGTCAAAATGGGTACGTGTTTTGAAATAGTAAACTTTTGCATGGGCAATGGACCCCATTTGAGTTGTGGACGAGGGACGCCAATTGGACCGGCAATGGACCCAATTTTAATTAGAGGCTCAAAAGGGTATTAATATGGACTTCAAGCTGGAGGCCTAACAAGGCCCTTCAAGGGCTTACTTCTTCAAGGGGCTTGTTTTACATTCCCTGAGTAGGGGATTCTAGTACTTGCCCACATTTCACACGTGGGAAAGTTTCAGAATATTCAGTGATTAGGGAGTTCATATTTTGTGAAGTTTACTTCCTGAGTATCTTTGGCTACCTAGACTGTGACTCACCCATAGTGAACATATAAATAGAACACCTAGAGTCACCAAATACCCAATTTTTCGTACACTGACATTATACTGATTCACATAGTGACTTTTGTCACTGCTAGGGCATCTGTAGCCCAATCGTGGGAAGAAATTGGTCAGAGGATATAGCACATTATTTTCTTAAGGATCTAAAAGTTAATAGCAAGGCATTTTTTTTGTAAAAGGGAAAAAATGTAAAGGAGATCTTTGCAAACAAATTTTTCTAATTTGTAAATCATAATGAGTCTTATTTGACAACCAAGCCTCAATTTTCAACTGATAAATTCTAGGCATTTGTCAAAATTTCCCACATCATCTATGTTTATAAAGACAAGGAACACCAATATTCCGTAAACGCCTCTATAAGAAAAACACTATTGGCAAATTTTGACGTTCTAGCAAATTATGATCAATAGGAAATGTTTCCGATTGAAGGTTGAACTTTTCCTTGAGGACATCAATATATAAATTCTCCTTCGAACTTGCATATATTACGATGTTTAAGGGCTTAAAATGATTATCATAAACGCGCTCAACTTAAACAAAATATTTATTATTATAAGCACCCGTAAATTGGTATATGGGATGTTCCATAACCCAAAGTATTTGAAGATGTGGAATTCTTATATATATTATCATTTTCATCAGTTGTTATTTATAATATATATTTATATCTTATAATGTTTAGAGGCTTATGCTAATAATATTGGAGTAGGTACTATATATATATATATATATATATATATGTGGGGAGCATGAAACTAAATACTGTGTACTTGCTTTCAAAACAGATTACTTTTCACGTCAACAAAGGGGCTAATAATCTCTAACATATTAGTTTTCATTGTGTTGTCTCTCTAATCTTCAACTTTAGTGAGAAGTCCAAGATCCTGTTGAAATTCTTGGCCGTCTAGCACTGACCCTAATTTGTTTTTCATGAATTTTACATTTCTCAGTTCAGTACAGATCACGGAAGAAAATGAAAGGAATTCGAGGATTGATACGCTTCTATATGCATCTGTTATTAGGGTCAACCTATCAATTAAATATTATGATTCTATGTAAGAAACTTATATTCTTAAAAGTATTACATCCGATATATCATAAGTTTATGTTTTCACTTGTCTTCGTAAAATAATTAAGAAAAATGTAGTTAAGTTGTTTATTAATGGTTTTGAATCAGAAGCATTACTTGTCGCAGATTGAAACAAGATTTCTCTCTACAATTTTTACTATGAAAAAAAATTATCCTTAAAGAAAAAGTTTGTGAATAATTATGTAGATATTGATCTAGAAACTTTTAAAAATTTTTAATATTCGAAGTGTTTTATCTAATTTTATTAGTTGTGTGAGCTCCATTCTTATAATTATGAATGGATTCTTGAATCATCTTCTGTTGGCTTTCTGTCCGGTTAATATCTTAGAAATATATCAAGTTTTGGATTAAATATTGGTTGAATATTGCACAGCAACTGGAAAATGAAAAATAAAAGTGGTAATACGTGGTCAAGATTTTAGCTACATGGAAGAAGATTGGAGAGGCAAGAGAAATCTGTACTTCGTGATTACAACTTTGTACAAAAAAGTTATTTGTGAGAATAGATATGTCCTTTTTAAAAACGCTTTCAAATAAACAGTATTTACGGCATTTTATTGTTTGTGTTTCCACTGGTTAATATATTTCTTTTTGGTTAATTTATCACATAATAGTGAATATTTTATGTATTATAGAAGTTTTAAAACTTTAGTTAAAGTTTATAAAAGCTTAAATTAAAATAAAATAAATAAATTAGGTGGATGCACAGTTTGGCAAAAGAATAATTAAAGCTTGAGTTTTTCTATAAAAATAAAAGAAGTTGGAGAATGAAAATATGAAATAAACTAAAAATTATTAAATAAACTAAAAATAATTTCAAAGTCAAACTATTTTTACAAACAACTTTAAATCTACAAAGAATGATAATTAATGTGGGTCAAGTTGCATAGACTCAAGGCACATCAACATTACAATTACAAATTGATGAAAGGAAGATTCAAGTTTGATAAAGAGGGATATGGGTGCAAATATGCATATCCTGAACTCTGAATCTGTGAGTTATGGAATTGTGCAGGAAACATCCACTGACTGTTTATTTCTTCAAAGACTAGGAATACAAGACAGAAAATATAATTAGTAATATGACATAATAAGAAGATAAAGATAAAAACAGAAATGTTAATTAAACGAGCGTAATCCTTGTTAAAATATTTATAAATTTAATTAAGCTAACGAGTTTCACAGGAAAATTACGAGTTAATTGAAACTGTTTTTCACTTTGTGTAAAAAATTATCAAAATCCAACCCTCTAGGGGTCCGAAACGTACTTAAAATTTTAAATTTAAAGATTTAATATTTTATTTTCTATATTACTCGCAAGTTAATTTTATAAACTTTAAAAAGTAACACTGAGTTCTTCTAATTTTTATATGATCTCGGAATAATTTTAAAACATGGCTCGTAATGTACGTTTTGTATTTAAATCATTTTTAGAGTGTGTGTGGATAATATATATCAAGTATGTAATTTATTTTTTTAAAAATTATAATTTTATGGATTAAAATTTATTTTTTGAATATTGAATTTTAAAGGAATTAAAATTTTAAAATTTTTAATAATAATTTTTAATAAAATAAAATAAAATAATTCCAAATCCTAATAAAGAATTTAAAATTACTTCTTTCGTTTATTGTATATTTTATTCTTATTTTCATTTAGTTATGATTAATTTAATAGTTTGAATTTTATATTGTGAATTTTTTTTATCAAGTATAGTGATAATTTTTTTTAAAAAAAAATAAGTGAGTTGAATACTCTATTCATATAAAAATATTTAAAAATATCAATCATTCTATCCAAACAAAATATTTTGAAATAATAAAAATTTAAATTTCATAAAATTTTAAATTCTATAAATTTTTTAATTACCTCGTTGAAACACAATCTTTAAGTTTCATAAAATTGCTAATAACATGTTGAATACAGCAATGATGTCACTAAGTTTTGACAGTT